TCGAGTTAAGACTCCCTTGATTCCCTTGATTCTTTAGGCGTATTTGCTTTGAAATTCAGTTTTTCCAAGTTGTTTTCGAACTCGATAAATTCAATTCTACTTATGTATTTGTCTCTAAAGCGGTTTCTCCCCCTTTCCCTGTCTTGGCCTCCCTCTCTCTTTCCCTTCATATTTTTTCTTCTTTTTTCTCCTTATCGGGGGAAAAGGGGGCGCCAGGGCGCTGCTGCCATCTTTCATAAATATGACAATGAGTCCATTTTCAAATTAAAGTCCGGCGAAGGAGCAACGAGATTAGCGCGAGTTGCATGTCTGGAAACTTGCAACCGAAGCTTAGTTTCAAAAACCGTACTTAAATACATTCGCTCCCCCCTGGTAAAAATTGGCAGTAGAATCTGTGTTCCAAAATACCATAGACCTACGGCCGGCTGTAAGATTTCCAATAGCTTCTGTAGCCGGCTACACAATTTCTTATAGCCTTTTATAGCCGATGGCAACTAAGCAACAGCCAGACGATAAAGTTCATGCTAAACGTTACTAAAAACGGATACTAGGACTTAGTTAGTTTGTGGACTATCGCTCTCTTTTTGTGCCGTAGTATCTTGATTTATTTTGCGAGGAAAGCTCCGTACTTTCGAAGGATGCCTGTCATTCTCAATATGTTGGAGCGCCTTCAATTTCTAATGATACTGTGCAATACCTCTGGTGTGAAATAGTTGCCTCAGACGCCGCGACACGGTGCGGCGCGGCGAACGGGCAGAGAGCACTAAACGCGCATTGGCGCCTACAAACCTAACAGGGATACTTCACGCATTGCGCAATGCGTGAAGTATCCCTGTCAGGTTTGTAGGCGCCAGTGCGTCGCCGCTCCGCTTTGTGTTAGGCTCTAATATTTAATCTCGCGGGGTCAGCGTTTTTCAACGCATGATTTTGAAATGTTTGCACACTCTGTATGGACTATTCTCATTTTAATTGATGAAAAAAAATATGTTTTAAAGGAAAATATAATGTGTGTTTTGTAAATATTAAGGTAGTATTCCGTATCAAACTTAATGATTTCCAAAGCACGCGAATTTCTACACAATTTCTTATAACCTTTTATAGCCATGGCGATTGAGTGTAATGCCCGGCGATAGGAACTATAGCCGGGCTGAATACTTTTTTATAGCTTCGTATAGCTCGGCTATATGATTTGCTCCGCTTCCTACAGCCAGCTATATGATTTTCAATAGCCTTCTTTAGTCGGCTAAAAGAACTCCTATGGTATTTTGAAACGCAGCTCCTATCGCTAATTTTTACCAGGGCCTCCATGATCGATATATCCGTTCAATCATAATGGATAACGAATAAATAAGTTCCACAGTTCGTAATACAGAGGCGAAATATTTGTAGTTTTTATTTTTGAAAAATCGAATTAGGGGCCTGGCTTCTATGGACCCTCACCCATAGTCTCGTAAACTTATTCGGACAAAAATACTTGATAAAGCCCAGCAAATCGTGCTCACACACAGAGCTTCGTGAACATGATTTAAAATTAAATTTGAAGAGAGCTGAATTGGATTTTTTCGACGAAATAGTTACTTCACTTGTGGGGATAGGATGCTAAAGTAGGGGGAAGACTCTGCCTTTTTATGTTCTGAGCGACTTAAACGCTCTATTAAGTGCATGCTTGGCGCAGAGAAGAACTCGTTTGTCAAGTTTCTGATTGAAATGTTGCGAATGAGAGAATAATTACATATGTTTAAACGCGCATTATTTTATCGGTAATGCAAACATGATTTCAAGCTTAAGTTACCTCCTTCTAAGACCAAACCAGACAGAGCGTGAAAAAACTAGTTGTTCTAAATATAATTGTACAGTGCACCAATGGCAATCGATCACTGCATTGTCGTCTCAAATGCATCCACGATAAATCAACATCAACGCAAAGCCTTAGCTTGAACAGAAATTGCTATATCACTAAACTTTCCTCGGTATTTCGTTTTTGTTTTTATTTTTTATCTAACGCCTAAAAGCAATGAAAAGTATAATTTCCCAATGCCTAATATAAATGAAAAGAGAGGGCACCATTTCATGACACCTATTATTCATTAATTTTTATTATAAACGTATATATACATCTATGAACGAAAGGTTGATGTTTAAACTTTGTAAGATCAACGTGCACCGAATGCTTAAAGGTCTTAATACGCGATCAAATTCCCGAACCAATTACCATCAAAACGTTGGGAGCCATTAGTCTTAAAATCACTACTTTCCTTAATTTTAAAATGAAAACTTGGCAGAAATGTTTCGTGCGGCAGGAAATGATAAATGGTGGACCTCCATTCTAATCAAAATTTGACGGCCCGTCCAATTATGATCAAAGAGGACTGTTGCATGGTGGGCATCAGTCATTAACTCGTCTACTTCGATCATAATTGGTTCGGATCTTGATCGTGTATCCACACCTTAAGATTTTGCAGAAGAAACGTCTTAGGAAACGCGTGCATTTTAATCGTGACCACCAGCCGCATTCCAATTTAAAATTTATAAATTTCCTGGAGACAACGAGAGTAGCTTTCGAGCTATGTAAAGAGATTGTCCTTCCCTCCAAGACATAGCAGGATTACAATCAAGAGAGAAAAGTGGAAGGATACAGGGGCTATGGTGCTGAGGAGTTGGGGAAGGGTGGGTAAAGGGTGGATAAATGATGGTGGAAGGGCGGAGGTAGAGGTTGGAATAGTGGGAAGAAAAGGGAAGTTTCCGCCAAGAAGTCGCGTTCATAATTGCACTTACTGCGGTCATTACCTTGATATTGATTTGAGCCGCTACTTTTGCACGATTCACCTCGTAATTCACGGAAGAGAGCAGAGTTGCCAAAATGGGATATTTTTTTCTTATTCCACGTCAAACGCGCCCAGAGACGAAACATTTAAGAGACCCCACACTTCCAACCTTGGCAATATGATCGAGAATGCAAAAGTTATGTTCAAAATTCAACGCTATTTTTCGTATAATAATGACTGATTAGTAGCCTTTCGAGCATATAATTCTCTTAGTGATGATTTATATACATTTCGCGGTTGGCTTTTGAAAGAAGAGCTTTTGCAAATAAAATTATGTCTCCTGAACCAATTTGTTCAAGACGTCGTCAGTCAACAATCTTTATTACGCGAATCTGCACTGAAAAAAACAAGTTCGGTGATTTTTACCGAATCTTTCGGTATACGGTTGTTCGGTGGCGCAAACCTAAGTATTGGGTTTTGTGAACCGAACGGCATTACGGCGTTTGGAACACACGACCAACCGAGTTCGGTAAGGTTTCACCGAACTTTTAAGGTCACGGAAACCGATCATTCGGTTATTCGCACCGAACTTTCAGTATATATGCGCGTTGACTTCCGAATATATATTTCACCCTATATACATAAGGGTGGATAGGGTGAGGCACTCCTAACATATTTTGCTTCCGATTTTCTCAAGCTCCAAGCTCCTATTGGATCAAAGGGAAAATTGAGCATATTGAAAAATAACTCATCCTCGCCTATGTTGAGGAGCTCGCACTGCTGACATTTTTTTTACCACTGTAAAAATATAAAGAGGTAATTTACTGCAAAACTTTCTTCACATTCTCTTCTTATACTTGCATCCAGACATCAAACTCGCTCTTCCCACATTATTTTTACTCCCACTCATAAGCTCATACTAAGGTTCTGCTCTGAACCTACTCCACCACCATTCCATGGGCGGAAAGTTTTGAAACTTTGAAAGAACATCAAAAGCACGAGGTAGTCGCAAAAATGAGGCAGTTACATGCAAATGTCACAGTTTTCTCATGCGTAAACACAGATATAAGATACGTGTTTCCCTACGAGTCGTCCCTACAGCCCTACGGCTCATGCCTGTATAGCGCCCATGACGTCATGTTTTTACTCCGTAAATTGTCTAGTCTGGATGGAAATTTGAGGTAATCACAGTTTAATGAGTTATGAGGGAAAGGTTCTGTTAATTTTGGTGCACAGAATAGGAAGGAACATATGATTTGTAGTGAGCAAATTTACAGAAAATCGTAGCAAACCTTTCAAAAAAGGCGAGAGCAAGATTATTAAAACAAGATCAATTAATATTTACTGGTTTCAGTCAAATGCTTCCAAGTAAGTTTGTAGTTTTTACCATGTTGTTTTTTCATCTCCATGAAACCAAATCCCTGAACTTTTTTTTCTTATTAGATTATTGTGAACTTCTAGGGAACAGAATTATATACATCAATGTTATTAAATATGGAATAAAGTTGATTATGCTAGCAACTGAGTAACTAGTAACTTATATACATGTCGGTATTCAAAAATTAAGTTCTAAATTTAATGACTTAAATTACCTCCATAAGACCTAACTTATTTCCTCAGTTTGTCTCTAATTTTCGAATGTCTGGTCTGTTTTTCAGAAAATTTCGTTTGCAATTTCTTCATTTGTTACACAGTATTCTTTGAAAATTTCGCGTAAAAAAATTATTCTGTATTCTGAATGAGCAAAAATATGTTATTCAAATAAAATAATTTTTAGGGCGCTCGATAGACGGGGGGAGGAAGGGGAGTGAGACGGTTGATGGGCTGGGATGAGGGTAGGGGAGTTCAAAGTCCGCAAGTGGGAAAGTCTCCAATGCCAACGGCCCGCGAGGCGGGCCTTGGGGGCGCACAGTGCTGGGGGTTGAGCTCAGTGGCCTGGGGGCGGACCCCCTAGTTATGTATAAGAGCGAAAATTTTAAAACACCACAATAGAACTCCACGGTTTGGAATCGTGGTTTTATTTGCTTTTCGTCTACAGCTGCCAAGCCTGAAAGTATAAACCCGCTCAAAGCCTTAGGTGAACTTAAATGGTAGAATGATTAGCTAAGCCCTTGTTAAACTAGCAGTCCCACTGTACAATCATTGACACTTGCGGGCTAAATGGACGCCGTCTGTGCGCATGTGCATACTTCCAGAATGTACAGTCGTGAGCGTAAGTGTGACAACTTGACTTACCCTTCGTTCTTCCTCTCTCGCGGCTAGCAAGTGAGTTTCGATGGCGTCCAGATCAATGTGGGGTAGCGCTGTCTCGATGTTGTATACGTCAAAACTACCTAAAAAATGAAAATAAAACCCTCGTCATTTCAAATGAAAGTTTCCAGGATGTTGGCGGTTTACTTTTACCGTCGTTGGTCAATAACAGGATCAGAAAAAATTTCTCCGACAGATTGTCCTGTACGGTGCGGGCGAAACGAGTCCGGTCAAAATCTTCTTTTAAGAGGAATTTTGGGACCTAGACATTCCCATCGATTTTCCAGCACTTCGGCATTGCGTACTATGTTGCATTGCTGTAACTACATGTGAGTCAGTGCGCCTTATATTTTTGCACATTTTGCGGCTGAAACTTCCAAACCATTTATCTCGGTTAGCGACGTTGCAGCCTTCCTGCGGGCTGATTATTGAAATTGATAGACAAAGCAATAGACAAAGAAGACAAAAAGGATTTGGAGGGATTCTATTGGTAGAAACGGGTGGTTGCAATGGACAAAGGAGGTAGGTAATAGACTAACTAAAGGCAACCCACGAGAGACCCGACAGTTAGTCTATCATTCCCCCCCCCTAGTCTATGAGAACCACCCATTTCAACCAATAGGATTGCTTTATACCCCCGATGTCTTCTTTGTCTATAGCTTTGTCTATCAATTACAATAATCGGCCCGCTGTCATACATTGCTCAACGTCATTTATTTGCAACTTTCGTAATTCTTTTTCTTAAAGCGAAGGAAATTCTGCGAAATCTTCAACGAATGATGTTAATTTGTTCACCCTCAGAAAAATAAAATGGGAGCTGAGATTCTAAAACACCGCAAACGAGATGCGTGGTGTGGGAGTTTCACTGTCGACTTACACCACGAGCAACCGTGGAAGTTGTGTACAGACGTTTTCAATGATCTGCTAGAGCGAAATGCGCATCGTTGTTGTGAGCGCAATGAAACTCAAAGCGCCTTCAGTTTTCTGCGTATGCAGCACTGCAAACCGTGGACCACGAATAATGTATTCGAGCGTTGCCACCAACTTGCTTACAATGAGTCTTTTGCAAACTCCCAACTCAAGAGGCTCCGTACATAATTTTGCATTTTTTAGTGTTCCACTCTAAAAGATATACACAAACGCATAATTTGATCCCAATGAATCATCTTGGTTTCTTAACTCCAGACGAAGATGAAAATGGTCATCATCATTTGTCGTAGTTTTTCAATTAGAGACAAACTTCCCAAAAAACCATTCTATCCTATCCGATACTCCTCTTTTCTGCTCTCTAAATGAACGAGCTGGTTTCATATTCTGATATAAGCCCTGAGATTCATTAGAATACATGCATGATAGGGCTCAGGTCAAAATGGATGTAATTTCTGTTGATTTAAATGTGTCTGAGTTATGTTCATGAGTTAAGTACTTATGTTGTTTCATTTTTTTAAGGGCCTCCTTAAATACAAGACTTTAAAACAAATTACTTAAATAACAGCTACTCAGACCCTGATAACGTCAAGTCTTAATGTTAGAAGCCTATTCTCTATTTTCGAACAGATGTAGATAAGTATATTCTAAGTTAAACTTGGCGTCAAAAACCGATTTTCAAGAAATTTTCCTGTCGAAATGTCTGACGGCAGTATAATCGAGGCTTTTCTCCAAATTACAAATAAAGCATGAATTTTTTTTTTTCACACCAGCTCGTGACGGCGAAGCAAAGCAAAAACCAGACGACAGCGGAAAACTGTACAATTTTAAGATAAGTCACACATCAGCAATTAAAATTTTCGCAGTAGTTTATTGCTTAAAATTATGTACAAAAAGTAATCGCTATGTATGTATGATGTTTGCTTGTATATTGTTGTATGTTTATCGTGCTGTATATTTTATTTATCAGTATCATCTAATCACAATCTTGCACTTGAGAGAAAGTGGTTATAAAATATTTGAAAAATTCCATGAATGCTCGATTGCTGGACTTAAATTCTCTGTTGTTTTGGTCGGAGGAAGTTTCAAAAACGGGCGCGACTCCAGGAAACGGTAGATAACTGTGATGGATTGTTCCGAAATGAAGCCTCTTTTGATTCGAGCGAGTACGTGAGGGCTGGTGATTCACCTCAAACAGTGTACGTGACCAACAGTGTAATGAGGGAGACTCGCTCTATTTGTTGACTTTTCTAAAACACGGCAAACATTCATTCTGATACAAGGACCGCTTGAGCGTAAAGTAATTAAAGTTCCAGAGTAAAAGCGAAATGACTTTCAGGTCCCGGCCCGCGCAACCACCGGGATGAATAAACTCGTCCAACGCTTGCTACTCATGTCATCAAACACCCAGCTTTCGAAATTTCGGAAATTTTAAAACCTTCTGCCTCACTCGGGAACATTAATGGATTTTAAATGGAAAGTAAAACAAAAATAATTACTTTAATGTTATTTTTCGAAATTAAAGACATTTTCTGTTCATTACAGTTATGAGTGTATAGCTAGCATGGAATACACAGTGGAGCCAAGATAACATACGGTCTTTTTCAAGTTTCTCAGAGGTGAAACCGAAAGGAAACAATTGAGGTAATTTGGTCTGAATTCCTGATTTTAAGGAAACTCGGAGAGTATGAGTCACGAAGGAAAGCCCTTGTGCTCTTATTTAGAAATATTTTAAACATCAAAGACGCTATTACTCAGATTTTAGCCGATTTGCTCCCACCTCCCATACCGAAGTAAGCATCCCCTCAATGATTTTTATTAGCTCCTGATTAGGGATTTAAGTGAAAACTTCCACAGTAAGTTTCTCGAGAATTCCCGGCTAAATTCCATACTATTACGGAAAACTTAAATCCTTAAACTCCTGATAGACTTATTGTAATCGCAGTGCCGATATATATCCCAAGACTTCGATTTTTATGACCAAGCTTAATGTTATCCTATACAAAAAATCACCTCGAGAAAATACCAGCTTTCACGGCACCTCAAGAAAGCAATTTAGGCGGGGTTGCTTTTCTTGGTTCGGCTTATAGCCAGCCGTCAACTTTGAGTAATTGCCAAATTTCACCAATCAATGCGGTGCCCCTCTTGTGCTGCGAGTTTAGGGCGTTCCCGGAACGATTCAGTGGTCGAAGAGGGGGAAAGAGATATGGGTACCAAGGTAAGGGGTGTTGAAAGGAATCACTTGTCGAAAGCTTCCGTGATGGGGACTAACCGCACGCTTAATTCATTTGCGTGTTTCGATAGGACGCAGTGCTGTCATTTTGTATTTAATATACTTGCTTTTTCATTTATTTATTTATTCCTTTATTTTTTTAGCAGTTCAATGGGCACGTCAAAAACTTTAGCAGGACCAAAAATAGAAATTGTACACTCTGTTAAAAAATCACACTAAATAAATATGGAAACTAGGTCAAGTATTTTCTAAGCCTCGCAGTACGTGTAACATAGCGTTTAGATAGTTGACCCTTCAGGTCATGGATTATTTTTCAGTCTCATACGTATTCTAGGGGGAAATAAATAGTGTAGCTGTTGTAGCTTCCGCAAAAAGATGAAGTCCTCAATTGGTTCTTAAAAATTTTAAACTTTTGGTATCAATAAAAAAAAAACAATACACTTATGAACATCTACAATATTAAAAAGATTCAATGGACGCCCTATTTTGTGTCAGAGCGACATGCTTTTCAGCTACTCGTCATTTTTTTAGAATTTTGAGATCGCACTTCTGTTGTCAGGGGACTAAGGAATTCACTTACCAATTTTGACAAACAAATTCAACGTAATAAAGGCGTGATTTTTTTAGAGGAACAATATCGCATTCGAGTGCAGTTTTGATATTAGTATCGAATGCTATACTATTTCTCCTCTAAAAAAAACCACGCCTTTATTACGTTGAATTTGTTCGTCAAAATTGGTGAGTGAATTCTTTGGTCTCCTGACAACAGTATTGCGATCTCAAAGTTTAAGAAAAATGACGAGTGGCTGAAAAAATGGAACCAATCGATGCGATATATCGCTTGTCGTTCTAACACAAAATATAGCGTCAATCGAATCACCTTAAGCCTCAGAGAAATATGGAGAACCTACTGTAGTCAGTAGACATTTTATAACGCCAGAGGCGGATCCAGCAATTTGGCAGCTTTGGATTTCCTCCATTTACACCTATGCTAAATAATCGATTCTTGTCGGAGCACCTGGCCCCTCGAAGAATCGATACATTTTCATAGGTTTAAACGGAGAAAAGACAATGTAACCAACTTGCTGGATCCGCCAATGTACGCCCGGACGTTCTTACGGCATTTTACTTTATGCCTAGAATATTCAAAGATCAACTCGGGAAGGTAAAAGTACTTACTGAGACTTTCGGAAGATTTCTTCTTGCGAGCTGCTCGTCTGCTGGCCCAATCCAACTTCGTCCCGGACACCGCATCCACCTTTTCTGAGGGACTCCGATTCTGATTGAGCCCTGCTCTCGACTTCATTGATTCGTTAATTTGCGTCTTCTCCCGTTTCCTCTCCAGATACGCCCGACGACTCTCCAATCGGCCACCTGCAGCACTTCGGTGTCCATCCTCAACCACTCCGCTCTTCCGACCGAGATCCACATCCGGCGAATCGTTCATCGTAAACTCGCGTAAGGAGTTGATAACGGTCTCTGCGGACCTGCAGGTCGCTACCACGTCAGGGCTGTCGGAAAGTTTACCTCGCCTGATAAATTTGTTCACGGATTCCACTTGGTTATGCCGTGACTCGCTTTCGAGGAATACATCATTCTTGAACTCATTCCTTTTGATCAACTCGTTCGTCGTATCATTCGGATTATCCGTAAGGCTGCAGTAAAAGTCGTTCTGCGACCCTCTTACGGCGCTTCGGTTCTGCGTTTTGCTATCCCGCGACATCGTCTCGTTTCTGTTGGTTCGCCGCTGTTGCGACTCACTTCCGATGTTGTCCGCTGGGTAGCATGGTGATTCGATCCTCGTCACTCGTCCGTTCATCGACCCGTTCCCATTGACCGAGTCCTGGGCGGATTCGATCCCTCGGGAGTTGATCTGGTTATGCGCGAGTTCGTTGAGATTGACCTGCCGCAGGAAGTTGTCGGTGAGCGAGTTGATCTGGTGCTGGAAGTTGTAGTTGAGCGTCTGGGCGGGGGCTTGGAATTTCGGTTTGTTGTAGAGCGGCTTCTGGAAGGGATCGCCGGTGGTCATGTTGTAGTCGATGACCGAGGTCAGCTTATCGTGGGGGAACTTCTCCAAGTTGCCAGGGGCCTGGTTGATGTTTTGGTCGCGGATTTGGGTCGGGTTTTGGTTGATGTTGGAGATCCTCGGTGACCGCGTTTTCCGGGGCGGTTTTAAAGGCTCGCTTTGACGCTCAAAATAACGCCGCTCATTGCCCAGGATGGCGGCCAGTTCCTCGCGACTCGTGTAGCCTGAAACAATTACGAGAGGATTAGCAACATTTAGGAACCTTGTCCCATAATAGAGAGCTGACGAGTAGAGTCCACGTCAAACATATTAGTTAAAGTAATACCAAAGATTTTTTGGTTTTCAGCAATGCGGAAACAAAAGTTGAGCTATTAGCCGACTTAACATGTAAATTATGCAATAATTGCGACTCAGGCCAGGCTTTAATAAAAAAACAATGTGCTAAGTCTCAATTATTGCATCTTATATTTGTTAGGTCGACTAATAGCTCAACTTTTGTTTTCGTGATAGCAAAGCATATCCATTCCCTTACGAGCTCTAGAATACGGGCATTTTTATGGAGCTTGGGGCTCATCACGAAATTGACTTGGTACTAAATGGACTGATCGACCATTTGACCGATTGTATAGTGTACCGATGCATGGACATCGACCAATTTAAATGAGATTCAACAGTTCCAGAAAAAGAGAGAAAATACGCCGTTTGAAATATTTTATTCACTTTCAATGCAGAGTTGAGAACGGCAGTTTTCCTATTGCAGTCTGAATATGGTGTGATTCATTTGGCATGACATCTTGTTAATAACGAGAATAAATTCTAACAGGCTAAGTATCCCTGAACAAAGTCAAAGGTGCAAAAGGCTGTCATCGTACCTGAGCACATGCCACATCATCCAACATTTCTTGTCTCTGGGAACTAGCGCTGAAAAAAAGAGCAGGGGTCGTTGGATGATATATGGACGTACGTCCAATAAATTGTGGCGGTGCCTCAATTATAATCGTGGCAGTACCTCCAATAAATTAGGCAACTAACCCAAATGCTGCGGCACTGCCTGAATTAATTAGAAATGTGTGTATCATCCGACAAAGTGCGGCGGTACCACAATTTTAGGGGATAACCCCTTGCACTTTTTTCACGTGAGCAGAGTCATACTCGTATATTTTGGCGTATCCACACCAAACGGTGTAAAGGTGACCCCTTTTATAGCGTTATCTATGATCGGACAGCATTATCATAGCGTTATCTACATTATTATATCTTATAAGACCATTTTCTTTTATAGGTTTTTTCCCCCCAAAAATGCCTCGTCAGATCTAGAATCCCAAAAATTCATGAAAAGCTAGACTCTCTAATTGACCTGACCTGCACTGAAAAAATATGGTAGATTTCACCATCCTCTGACGAACTCATACAAGTATGGTAATAAACACCAAACTCTATGGTAGCATTTACCATATTGTGGTATCACCCGACTTCTGTTGAATACTACTATAATTCTGGTTATTTCACTAAATAGTGTCACTGTAAAAAATTAAGTAGACTTATCGTTGATGTTACCATACTTTTTTCTCAGTGTGACCGATTGTTATCCTGTTATATTTCATAACTGCCCTTTTCTCACCGAAAAAATAATGCCCTGGCTTTCAAAATATCGACTAAATCCTCCTAACTTGATAATTACAGCACGTCTTGTTCATTAAAGGTTACACTGTCATTAATGTGCACGCAACGGGGCGCCTTGATCATGGATGGTAACACCAGGAGTGCTCTTCACGCATTGGCGTCGGTCTTTTGAACTTAGCCTCACACGTAATCATATCAGCCGAGGGAATCAGCAAAGACAAAGTTGCTGCTCGCCACCGGAAGGGGTCAAACAATTACACTTGAAAGATGGCATTGTTCAGATAATAGAGGTAGGGTCACCTGCAAAACCTCTCCACCCTTCCTCTGAAAGAAAATATAATAGAGAATCTAAAGCTTTGGAAAGCTCAGAGAAACGGGGCAGCATCTTTGCCAAGTGACGCTCGTAAAGCATCGTCCAAGAGAAAAAGGACCTCGACAAAATCTCAAAGTTGGACGTATTCTGGGCGAAAGGAACTTCGCAGAGATGAATAAAATTAAAAGGAACTAACGCAAATCTTACACTGTTAAAAAAATCGAACACATCTANTGTCTAGTGGTCCATTAATTAGAAATGTGTGTATCATCCGACAAATTGCGGTGGTACCACAATTTTAGGGACAACCCCTTGCAATTTTTTCACGTGATCAGAGTCATACATGTATATTTGGGCGTATCCACACCAGAAGGTATAAAGGTGGTCCCTTTTACAGCGTTATCTACAGCATTATCATAGCATTATCTACATTATTATATCTTATAAGACCATTTTCTTTTATAGGTTTTCCCCCCAAAAATGCCTCGTTAGATCTAGAATCCCAAAAACTCATGAAAAGCTAGACTCTCTAATTGACCTGACCTGCACTGAAAAAATATGGTAGATTTCACCATCCTCTGACAAACTCATACAAGTATGGTAATAAACACCAAACTCTATGGTAGCATTTGCCATATTGTGGTAAGAATCACCAGACCTCTGGTGAATACTACTATAATTCTGGTTATTTCACTAAATAGTATCACTGTAAAAAATTAAGTAGACTTATCGTTGATGTTACCATATTTTTTTCCCAGTGTGACCGATTGTCATCCCGTCATTTCAAAACTGCCCTTTTTTCACCGAAAAAATAATGCCCTGGCTTTCAAAATATCGACTAATCCTCCTAACTTGATAATTACTGCACGTCTTGTTCATTAAAGGTTACACTGTCATTAATGTGCACGCAACGGGGCGCCTTGATCATGGATGGTAACACCAGGAGTGCTCTTCACGCATTGGCGTCGGTCTTTTGAACTTAGCCTCACGCGTAATCATATCAGCCGAGGGAATCAGCAAAGACAAAGTTGCTGCTCACCGCCGGAAGGGGTCAAACAATTACACTTGAAAGATGGCATTGTTCAGATAATAGAGGTAGGGTCACCTGCAAAATCTCTCCACCCTTCCTCTGAAAGAAAATATAATAGAGAATCTAAAGCTTTGGAAAGCTCAGAGAAACGGGGCAGCATCTTTGCCAAGTGACGCTCGTAAAGCATCGTCCAAGAGAAAAAGGACCTCGACAAAATCTCAAAGTTGGACGTATTCTGGGCGAAAGGAACTTCGCAGAGATGAATAAAATTAAAAGGAACTAACGCAAATCTTACACTGTTAAAAAAATCGAACACATCTAAGGGTTTATTATGACCTTTCGTCCCAAGATACAGATTGTTTGTTGTCAACAAAGCACCATTGTAGTTGGAATCTCCGAGTTGTCGCTGAACACGGCGAAAAGAGCATAAAAAAGTGTCTATTAAACACACAAGTGTGTTTCTGGCGACACATTACATGTGTCTAAGGACAAGATATCCGAAAATACTCACCGGTATATTCAAAGGTCTTGACATAAAAGGTTCTAAGGCCGTAACATAAATGCGACCAAATGAGTCATTGATAACGGAGCGTAGATGTATGTCCCCAACAATTTTGGAATAAACTCGTCCACAAATTAAGTCAAACAGTGGTAAAAGAGGTCTATAATTCGAAGTTCAATATGCGTGGTTTTGAGATATAGCATTTTAAAATGTCGATATAGGAATTTCATTTGATAATGAGAAAGGAATGCTTACACGAGTGAATTCACAAATCGCTTTTACCCAATGTTTACTCACCCAAATGAAACCTTTTTTACTAACGAGAACTTCGAACTCTTTATACGATTGAGCTTACATTTTGCGTAGCAATGGGAAGTTAGGTGATTTGAACTGTGCGATTTTCCGAATGTTGGCAACATTGGATGAGGCGTCATCGTTCCAGCCCGAGACCCGACTCCTCATTCCGGCCTCCGGCGTTTTTGTTTTCAGCGAATTCCTCGGATGGAATTCTGAGCGGTAAAAATTTTCACTACTTAAGTTGCCGGAATTTGAGGTGAGGTACGAGACTCCCTTTGAGAAACGCTTCGAGAGCAAAAGTCAAAGTCAGGCCGACAACGCCGAATTCTTCGCGAAAAGTTTTCCCACAAAGAGCAAAGCTGAAAGGAAGCTCTTAACGATCCATGGTCTTGGACCCTCCGTTTGTTCGGGTCATAGAGTTTTTTTCTTTAAAAAAATATCCATGGGTGGCCAAGGGTCAGTTTGTGAGACGGGTTAAATACGGATGCTAAGACTTTGTGAGTTTTTGGACTACCGCTCTCTTTTTGTGCCGTAGTATGCATGATTTAATTAATTTGCGAGAGAGGCTCTGTACTCTTAAAGAAAGCTTGTCATTCTTGATACTCTGGAGCGTCTTCAATATTGTATAATACTGTGCAGCACCTCTGACGCAAAATAGTCGCTTGAAGCGTTGCGGCGCGGCAGGCAATCAGCAAAGCGTGACACGCGCATTGGCGCCTACAAACCTAACTGGATACCTCACGCGTTGCGCAATGCGTGAAGTATCCCGTTAGGTTTGTAGCCGCCGGTGCGCGTTCATGCGCTGCTAACACGCCGCTCCGCTCTGTGTTAGGCTCTAATATTTAAACTCGCGGAGTCAGCGTTTTTCAACTCATGACTTTGAAATGTTTGCACTCTCTGCATTGATTATTCCCTTTTAAACTGATGAAAAAGAAATATGTACTACTGGAAAATCTAAAGTGTTTTCTGTAAATATAATAGTGGTTCCGTGTCAAATTTAATGATTTCCAAAGCATTCAAATGTATTCTTTTATGTTTTGGGCTTTTACTGTGCTGCAGCGTGGTGTACGCGCAACTAAACGCTCAAAATTGGGCGTATTTGACTCTAGAAGATCGATGCACGAATAAGTTAAAAACAAAAAATTGCGTGCTTCTTGGTTTTTTACCTCTTTTATTCATTTTTGTATAGTTTCTTGCATCACAACAACGGCTAATTGAGATTCATATCGATGTCATCGAAAGGTTTTACAAATATTTGCCACGTTTTAACAATGTAAATGTTTTTAAAATGAAGTAATATTTTCATTTAAAAAAAATGTACATTTAAGGCATATTTTATATCGGAAATTTCAAGGATAGAAATAAAACGAAGTGTTCACCAATGACAATATGAAAAGATGAATCAAAAGAAGAAATTAACATTTCATTTAAAACATGAGTACCACAACAACACCTCCTTCTCTATTAATTTTCTGATTTCGATATTGTCAATATAATTTTAAACACGGACTAAAATATAACGCTTGAATAAAGTCAGTGTTGCTTATTTTACACGTGTAAAATAAGCAGCTGGACGTAAACTACTGAACAAAACAGGTGCGCCGACGAAAAATCGTTGACGCAATGTCCTGAAACCTAAGTGTTAAACTAAAACTAATTCCTTTTTTAACTTACTTTTATAATGTGCTACGCTGTCATCAGGTAGTTTTTTCGGCGAATTCAAACTGGAGAATTTAGGGAGAAACTGAGGAGCGATTTCCTCTAAACTGGCCGGAGTGTGAAAACAGGCCTGCCCGACCGAACTTTGATTCCAATCAGATCTGCAAAATAAAAGGGAAAGAAATAATTAAATGTGGTGGATAAAATTCAAATTTTTATTTGAAGAAAAACCTAGTCCATATATTTTTCAATTATTTTCTATATCTTTTCATTTCAGTCTCTCTCTGAGTAATCAATTGGTCGGCGATTCCTGAACACTTTTCGGCGCACGAGGTCAAATTTTGTGGGCAAGTTTTCTCGTCTCACGTTTTACCCACCGCATATTAGATTAAATTTCTATAAACATCAGAAATACCGGAAAACATCATCCATAATAATTGGTACCTAAAAGTCTAGGGTCATATATTTGCCATTGGGGGTCACAGTGAATGAAGGGTTTGAGTTTAACAAACTTTGAGAGACACTCCGGCGTGGAAGGGGAGGGGAGGGTAAAGATAATGTATCTTGTAACAAGCTTTTTTAGATATGAGTCAAAATTTTCGCTACTCAGCTAAGCATAGGGCAATCGTTTAGATGTGCCTTTTCATAGCGCACTACGGGGCAATGCTTTAAAAAAAATGCGCCTGCAGAATATCGAATGCCGAAGTAAGAAACCACGTACTTCTGTTTGCAACGTTGCGTACCTCCTGTGTATGCTTTAATTTTTCCTTGGAACTCTAGCCAACGTAATTTTTAAAAGCGTTCTTGATTATTCTTATCTATTAGCAGGATATTCTGTGTAAATTTCAAGCCACAAATTTGGTTTTTTTTTCTCTTTAAAAAATAAAACAGGGGCAGACATTTTCAAAACACCGTAATGGAGATACGTGGTTTCGCAGTTTAGCTATCCAATTGATTGTCAAGTTTACATTTTTCTGATCCCTTCAAGCTCGGCAAGATTACAAACATTTGAGATTGAGATAACAGGTTTTTTCTTTTTTCTTTTTTTCTTTTTTTCTTTTTTTCTTTTTTTATTTTTTTATATTTTTTATATTTTTTTTTCTTTTTTTTAATTTTTTTCTTTTTTAATTTTTTTTAATTTTTTAATTTTTTTATTTTTTTAATTTCATTTTTTTATTTTTTTATATTTTTCCTTTTTTTTGTTTTTTTGTTTTTTTGTTTTTTCTTTTTTTCTTTTTTTCTTTTTGTCTTTTTGTCTTTTTTCATCTTTTTTTTCTCTCCAAATAGGAATAGAAAAGAAATTCAGTACTCTTTACAACGAGTACGGCAACTGTGGTGAAGCAGGGTGCATTACCGCGGATGATGTCTCAAAGTTGATTGCGGCCAAGCCTGCGGCCAGGCCGGGGCGAGGGGGTGAAAGGGTAAAGGGACGCGGGGGAACAAGGCCACCCTTGTATTTTTGTGCGATGATCCTTTTTCACGAATAGGCTTAGCTCTAACGACCTTTCCCCTCCCACGAACCGTGCAAACTCAAGCACGGACAACCTCAGTTGTGCAGCCCGGCAGCCGCAGTTCCTGTTTGCAACCGAGGGTGCATCCTCGAAGACACGTAGCAAGACATTTTTCCACGCAAAAGGCTGCCGCTGAATTATAATTTTTACGACTGAACTATTAGAGCCTGAAAAAATTATTACGAGCCTGAAATTGGCAAGATTTCTACTTCATAAGCTGTGGCTAAAACATGCCCGTGGACACCTAAAAATAAGGAGAAATACTTCCTGAAGCCCCAAAATTCGAATACGGAAAACAAGGAAACATGCGGCATGTTTACAGAGTCGCAATGATACAACAAACGGAGAAGCATTTCGATGATGAAACTTCCAAACCAAGTATCACAGTTTGGGACGTTGGAGACTTCCTGTCATACTTAGTTTTTGATTTGAGAACTACTCAACGTCAATTCTTTAAAGTCTCAGCCTTGATTTTTCTCCTCTGCGCGAAGAAAATTCTGTGAAAACTTCAAGGAATAATGTTGATTGGTTCTTCTTTAAAAAATAAATAATAATAATAATAATAACAAGTTGGTTTTTGCAATCGCTAGCGATAGCAATATTCGTCATGGGAACTTTTGCTTCTGGGATATGAAAATGTTAAGGTACAGTTCGTTTGTAGTATCTTCAGGATTGAAGGGGCTATGTAATTTTGTGTCGACATCTCTTTTTTAACATTTTTAATTTTTTTTCTTTGCATACAAGAAAGCTGTTATATTTACCAATTATTTATTTTCGTTGGATTATGTATGGTTTTCGGAAGTTAACGCATTTAACTTTCAGTTTCGTTTTTTCGGCGTAAAGTATGATATTTTTACTCTACGCATATGCCCGAATACGCATCATAAGTGACCTATGTGCTTCCTAAGTTGCCATTTTTTTCATTCAAATAGATGTAACTGAAATGTTAGATGTGTACTACCTATACTACTTTCATGTCATTGCTTTATTTATTTATTTATTTATTTATTTATTTTTTGCGTAGGTATAAATTGTTATTTTTTGCTGAATTTTGGAGAAAATATTGCTTTAAGAACGTGGAATGTAAATTAATTTTATTGAAAAAAGAAAATACCATCATTAATTTGGGCGAACAGAGAAAATATACATCAATATTTGGGTCAACATCTCCCTGATTATATAAAGGATGAATATATTAGTATTTCTGTATCAAAAAACTTAGCTTTTGTCTTCAGAGATACAATGATTCTAGTCCCAGTCAATTTGTTGTATTGAAAAAACAAAAAAACAAAAAATAAATAAAAAAAAAAAAAACTGAAATGTTAGACATACTATTTTCATGTCTTTCTATTTGTATCAATAGGTACTTTTTGCTTAACTTACGAACGTTGAATGCAAATTAACTTTATTGAAAAAAGAAAATAACGTCATTAATTTGGGGGAACATGTGGCTGATTATATGAAGGAGGTATATTCCAGTATTTTTGTTTAACATATTAACTCACGAGAAAATGTTCGTACATTTATCATCTAGTATTAATTATTTTTTGATGATTGGTCTAAAACATTCAATACAACCATTAAAAAGTAACACCTATCGTTGGGTATCGAACTCCCGATCGCCTATCGCCCGCACCTTATCAAAACATGGGGCGCCTCAGTCAACTAGGCTATCACAGGTCAGCGACAGCTTGAGAAAAAATAGCATTTAAAAGACTCGGACGATGGGCGGGACTTATCACAAGAGTTGTCCTTGAGCGATTCGGCGATTCGCGTCTTCGTAGCTTCTGGAGAAACGAGCTAAGCGCCTTTCTCTGTGAGACATGTTTGCCTATGCTATCATGTGTCTCAAGGTTCATATCAGCAGGCATTTGCCATCGCGGCAGTAAGCTCAGGCAATATTTCTGTATTCATGGAATAAATCAATCAATCGAGTTCCGATTTTGGCTCATATATCCGTAACGAGTCCTCCAGAACAATTTTCCACCTTGTACGATGGTTATTATTTCTTTACTTCTATTTTTCAAATTTGAGGTGGGATAATGGCGGCTTCTCAAGAGCAACGAGGTAGGCGATCTTTTGCACCAACGAACAGAAAACTGATGGCGAAAAATAACCAATCAGAACCTCCCAGAAAAAGGAATTTGCCTAAAAACGGAACTTCGTGGTTCTGCGCAGATTTACCAGTCAGACACGACATCTGAAGGTGGAAAAAAACTCGCTGAAAGCGAATTTTAGCAATCAACACAACTTGACGTAGAGACACGATTGGCTAAAAAATACAACGGTTTTTGATACATCGGAAAATCAACCAAAAATCGGAGACTGGGCGAAACGCTCAAGGTCGCAGAGGTATAGGGAATCCCATAGCGAAAGCAACGGAACGATTGTAATATCATGGGGAACTCTGTTCCCATGACAATAAAAGGGAGCGAAGATTCTGTAACACCGCAAACGAGATACGTGGTTTGGAAGTTTAATCGTCGAGTCTCTGTTGAATCGCAATAAAAATGGCAATTTAAAAGATCCTGCACGAGAATTGATTTTGAGTCAACAGGAAATCTCCTTATTCCAAACGATATTTCTGTAACCTATTTCAAAAAATGCCAATTTAGAAGATCCTGAACGAGAATTCACGTTGAGTCGACAGGAAATCTCCTTATATAAAACGATATTTCTGTTACCTATTTCAGAAAAACCTCCTGGCACTTTATAAATAGATTTCCGATCAGCTAAATCTAAATTCTTGTCCGAGAATTGAAATCAACTGGAAAATTTTTCTCGGTTATAGTTTGATGTAACATAGTTGTTGTTCTAGTTATACCATCAATTAATGACATTTAAAGCCCTCCCATCAAGATAAAGCCCACGTAGTGTATAAGAATATGGATGGATTATGCTTAATGGTTTCCTTCCAAGTGACTTTTTACGGTAGAAGTGCCTCCGTTTTTCCTACCTCCACGTCACCTTATTTCCCATCTTCCGATTTGCCACCCCCGCGTTGTATTCACTCCCTCTGTATTTCTCGAAAGCTCTAACGGCAGAGTCCGGTCTGCTAAACGCTGCTGCAACGTCGAGCTCATTTGTATTCCATCGTTTCACTCGTAGCATGCCACCGACTGCCTGAAACAGTGCTGCTATATTCATTAATATTGTAGAATTTGGCTCGTGATGGACATTCGGCGGTTCCATGCGCCCTCTGGCGCCTGTATGTGTAACTCGATGTCTCATGTTTCCTCAACTGAAAAAGAAAGTTCGATGAAATGAACGAATTTCTGCCAAACAGAACTATGTGCATTAAGACATGAGCCTTGGGACCCATAAGAAAATATGCATAACAGGGCTCACGTCGTAATGCATATAGTTCCGTTTGAAAGAAATACGTCCAAATGAGCCTAAGCTCTTGGCTCCTTATCGATTGAATCACTCGATTTGTCTATAATCGCAATGAAGTATTTTACATGAAATTTTTAATTACGGCTCAAATGTTCATGAGCCATCCATAAAGACGCTGTGCACAACTCGCTGAACACGGTTTTAGATTTCACCCCGAGCTGATTTCACCTGCACCTATTCACCACTTGCACTCTGACCATACATTGCACTCTTACGATACATTTAACTGTTTAACAGAGTGGTAGTGCGTGTCT